AGGACTTTCTAATCCAGATAAACTCAATGGGTGCATTATGATCCAGCGCTATGATCGTTTCACAACCCTTTTGTGGAGACACCAGGTCATCATAACTCTTAGCGGCATTATCACGGATTTAACCCTGATTTTTGATCCTCCTCCTGCAGGAAGAGCCGTTTCACACCCATGGAGTGAATAAAGGTGTTTTTATGAATAGGAGACACAATGTCTCTGGATACACTTTCACACTGACAATTTAAGGAGCCGCAGCCAGCGCCACACACGAAGCGTTGCTCTCTTGGCTATTAAAGGTTTAAGGCTAATTGCCAGACGGCGCTTTGTTTTTCTAAGTTTGCCGACCTGGCTTTTGAGCGGGGCGGAGAGTGCCGTGAGCCGGAATCCATTGTGTGAAAGAGAGTGTAAAAGCCCAGTGAGGGTATTGATGGGATTACTCACACTCTCACAGCTAAAGAGCGAGAGTGAAAAGAGAGAGCGAGGGAGTAAATGATTTAAAAGGCAGTATAATGTAATGAGGATGGGGGCCTTGGAGGTGGGGGAAAAGACTTCCTTGTGGCCATCTATCTGACTGCTAATCCTCAGAGCTTACATCTACATTAACACTCACACATCGCCGCTAACAACTTCTGGCAGCTTTTGGGTCCGTATCGCTCTAGCTGTGGTGCGCTCGTCTGCAGCGCTGTCAGTCTGGGTTTTAGGAGCCGTTGATGCTGTGTGCGTCTGTATACCGGCGGCACTTTAAAGTGGTCTCTGATTAAGAGCCAGTGAAAGCAGGGTACACCGAGGAGCTGGAGGGCACGGAAATAAAGCCGGCCTGAGTGCCCAGTGTCGCTCTTATCTGGAGAGTTGGACGGCTTGATCTCTTCAAAGAGGACACTCACTCGAGCAAGGCCATAATCAACTGATAATAAAGTTTACTTGACTAACTACAGGCCTCAAATGAATTCTGGCCATGCTGCTTTCCCACTAGTGTTGCTTTCTCTGTATGACATTATATTCTGCAGTTCTTCCCTGTTGTACCGAATATCTATACTTTTCAAATTATCATATCGAAGTTAGAAATTCAAATATTGTGACAAAATTAATTTTGTAGGGTGCCACAAATTTGTTAAAATTTCAAAGGGTGCCGCGACTTAAAGAAAGGTTGGGAAACACTGATTTAGAAGACGAAAACCAAACAAAGTTAAGTCTGACACAGAGAAAGGGACCGATGGCCGGCCAGCCGGGGTTCGTCTTTATTTAAATTTATGTGTGTGTACTTCTAACATGTTTGGTTGGTAAAATAAATGTTGTAAATTCAAATCAGAGCGTCTTCCGTGTCTGGAATGGATGTATTCTTGAGTCTATAAGGTAACAATAATATAATAAGATAACCTTGTTTGAAATGGGTTTGGCTAAAAGAAAATTTTGGTTTCGTCTATACTACTAGGTACTTATACTATATTGACTGGGTTAAATAGAATTGCATTTCTAAAAAGAGACTAAAATACAATTTTCATTGACTAAAACTAGACTAAATGTCATCAGTTTTCGTCGACTAAAACTAGACGAAAATAGTCATGGATAATTCTGACTAAAATAAGACTAAAATGCTCAGACTTTTAGTTGACTAAAACTTGACTAGACTAAAATTAGTATGAACGTGACTAAAACTAAAAAAAACTAAAATGACAGCTTCACACAAAGACTAGACTAAAGCTAAAATTAAAACAGGCTGCCAAAAACAACACTATTTCCCACTAAAGTTGCCACCAAAATTTTAGTAATCAATTTTATTAGCAGTTAGTCTGCTGATAGTATTTTATTTTGTTTTTTATTTATTTTATTTTAATTTTTGTTTTTTTTTACTATTTTAACTTATCTTATTTTATTCAGCTTTTACTTTTAAGTAACTCTGGTGATTTGCCACTAGATTTAGTAGGCTAGTTTTTTTGTTTTCTTTTGTTGTAGTCAGCTTATATGTAATTTTGTGATTTGCCACCAAATTGTTTTTATTTTATTTTATTTTATTCAGCTTTTAATTTTAGGTAACTTTGGTCATTTGCCATCAGATTTAAATTTTTGTTTTGTTTTCTTTTTGTTTTGATTTAGTCAGCTTTTATGTAACTTGTGATTTGCCACCAACATTTTATTACATTTTATTTTATTTTATTTTATTTTATTTTATTTTATTTTATTTTATTTTATTTTATTCAGTCAGCTTGTAATTAGTGCATACTGTGTTGATCATGTGGGCACTTCCTGCTCCTGATCCACCTCTCTCTCCCTATCATTTCCTGTCCTCCGTCTACCCTCTTCTAAATAAAAGTGGCAGAAGGCCAGAAAAAGGTGGAGGTCTTCTCAGCAGGGGCAGCTCAAGCAGATGCCTTCTTGGACAAATGACAGCCTGTGATTTACACACTCTCCATTTTCCACGAGAAGCCTGTTTGTTTTTAGATACAAGTGAGCAACATTACACAAGTCTAACACACTTTCCTGGGGATAATTGCTTGTTAGCTCAATTTCACTTATGGCCCCTTAATAAAACCTAATTGAATTAGCCCCACCTTTGCTGTTCTTTTAGGTGTTTACGCTTCTCTGGTACCCCTTGTAGCCCAGAAACGGGATAATGTGTGTCCCCCGCATGCCTCAGTAAACCTGCCGTAACCCGAGGCTGTCAAGGTGAATGTTCTTTGAACTAAATAAAGAAAATCTCAAAAATGAGATAAGTAGCCCTGCGTTTGCCAACATCTTGGAGATGACTAACCCACATGGGTTTTATGATGATAAAAAAAAAAAAAATTTCTGCCTGTTAAATGTTAACATCACATCCTCATACCTCAGTGGTTCAGACAGGATTTCCAAGTGAAGAATCAAAAGCGAGAGGAACACGCGAGGATCCACGTGGATCCGCTCAGGCCTTTTGTCTGACCCAGAACCTGCGGCAGGCGTTTTATTATTGAATTGGTGAGGCTGAGCTCTGACGGGTGTGAATAATGCGGAATGTGGCGGCTGTCAGCCAGTCTGATGAAGAGATCTTCCCTATTGGTGGGGATGAACTTCTGACCCCGCATCCTCTGTGCCGTTCTCCTTCAGCTGTTGGGCTGCTTTAAAATAATGCTCACAGACGTACAGCCTCCGAAACCTGTTTAAAACTTTCAGGAGTTTGATGACTCTGACCGTGAAAGAAAGCACTTTGCTCTGGTCAGGTGTTTGTCTTTCTTCTGAACAGGTTGCTGACCAGTAAGCTGAGCAATCAAAGTTTAGGTTCAGTTATATTTATGTATTTATTTATTTATTTATTTATTTATTTATTATTCTTTTTATCCAGCACAAATAAAATTGATTTAAAGTAACAGGAGAGACATTTCCTATTTCAAATAAATTATTTTCTTTTTTACTTTTTTAGAGTCCTACAAAAAAAATCATCATGATTTTAACAAAACATTAAGCAGTACAATGGTTTAAAACATTAATAATAAGATTCATTCTCAAGAAGTTTCATGAGCACCAAATCAGCATATTAGAATGATTTCTGAAGAATCATGTGACACTGAAGACTGGAGTAATGGCTGCTGAAAATTCAGCTTTGCCATCACAGGAATAAATGACATTTTAAAATATATCGCAAATTTAAAAAAAAGTTATTTTAATAATACTTTACAATATTACTGTTATTATTGTATTTTTAACAAATAAATGCAGCTTGGGTGAGTATAAGAAACTTAAAAAAAAAAAATTTTTAAACTTACTGACCCCAAACTTTTGAACGGGCAGTGTATATATCGGCTACATTATATAGAGATTATTATCATTATTATTACTTAAGAAATACGAAAATTCAATATGTATATAGTGTATGTATTGATTCCATTTCCTTTAGTTGGTCATTTTAATTCATATAGTTTATTTTTTTAGCAAATGTTTGTGTTCAAATTTATTTATATTTTATTGATTTGATTGAAAGTTGATTTCTGTACTCATTTTTTGGTATTATGAAATATCAAAATCCCATAAAAGACCAAAGTGCTGTTCAGTATGTGCTTTAGTATCTTTAGTATTTTAGAGCTGTTGATTGTGGGCAGCAGGTACGGTTGCCACTCCCACTCTGCCTGCAGGAAGTTGCTTTGATGGCAGGCCTGTTGACTTGGGCGATTTCATTGCTTTGAGGAGTCAATGGCAGACACAGGACAAACAGCTTTTTATGAAGTGGTATGAAGTTATCTGCTGTCTGTGAGTCTGGCCGGGCTGGTGTTTTACAGCAGATAACGGCAGGCCTCTTGCCTCCCTATCAGCGCTGCGCCACTGGCCGCCCGCGCATTAGCGCCTGTCAGAGGCCTCGAGTGTGGCTGAGGGTTTGCAGGGGAGGCCAGACAAGGCCAGATAGCCGTTGGCCTGCAGATCAAAGGGTCTCCCTACAGGTCGTTCAGATAAAGCAGCTGTATTTCATGCAGCAGGTATCTATAACAGAAAGACGCCACTGTCTGAAATGCAGCATCACGGGAGACAGACAAACTGCACTTCCTTAACACCCCCCTCCTTCTGCAATATCTCTTTTATTGGCCTAGGCGCTTAATGCTGGACGAAATGAGCCCAGTGTTTTTGTTTGAAGTCATTTTGGCCCACAGTGGTGTTTTTCAGGGGTCAGGCATTTCCTCTTTGCTATCCCAGTCAGAGGAAGGCAGGGGGGGTCGGATGGGGCTTGAACTGCTATGTGTGCCAGATGAAACACAGATAGCTGTTTATGACCTCCGAGTTACACCAGCATAGCCATAGACACTTTTCAGGTTCATTATGTATTATGACTTCAGTGAGACTTACAGAATTGAAATGTTTTCAAGTCGGTATGGTGTGATTTTGGTATGATCATCATCATAAAATTTGATGAGCAACAATAAATAAAGAACAGAAAAAATTGCAGTTTGCAGTGATAAAATGTACTCGTAATGAGCTTTAATGCGTTGTGAATCAAAATCGTGGTTTGAACTGTTGTTCTTCTCTCTGTTTTTTTTCTCTGACAGGCATGTTTGACCGCAGTGTCACCCTGCTGGAGGTGTGTGGCAGCTGGCCTGAGAGTTTCGGACTGCGTCACATGTCCTCTGTGGAAGCCACGGAAGAGGGCCTGAAGGAGAGGCTGGCAGACGCAATGTCAGAGTCGCCCAGCAGAGACATTGTGGGCTCTGGGACAGGTGAGCGCAAACCCTGTCATTAATGGTATTATGCACATCTTATAGGCAATGGATGTCAGATAACATACCATTAAATGCAACAGTTAATGTCACAGTCAGATTTAAAAGGATGGTTCTCACAAAAAACATTTTTGTTTTTCCAAATTTGTATGACTTTCTTAAAAAGTAATGTTTCAAATGTTTTGGTCCATGTAATGAAAGTCATTGGGGCCTAGAACAACATTGGACCCAAACATTTTATGTGATGTTCAAAAGTAGAATATGTGTTGATAACTCTGTATACTAAGATAAACAGGTATAAAACTGTCACTGGGGTGTTACCCTTTCAAAAAGTACTAACATACACTTTAGGTGCTGATATGTATTTTTTAAAGTACTAATATGTAGCATTTAAGGGTAAATAAGGTACAAATATCAAATATATACCTTTTAGCTTTTGTACCTTAGGGTAACTACCCCCCTATTGCCAGCTTTGTACCTTTTTTTTTCTGAGAGTGTATAGAAAAAAAACATTATTTTTTATTTTTTTGTTAAGGACCTACAAAAAGAACTTCAGTCAAGTTTGTTCTTCTCATTAGTAGCTCATTAAGCTCAAAAGCAAACTAACTCCCTCAGAAGTTAATATGGTAAACCCTATTTTGTTCGATTTGCTCTTGCTAATTCCTCCAGTGACTAGGGGAATCAGTTATGTCTCCTCAATCCTGTTTGAATTACACAGAGATAAGAATACGTCCTGGCGTATTTACGTGATTTCTCGTACACATCTTGGAAAAGACACATTTCAGAGGTTTTACAATAACAAATTAGGTCATTCGCATTGAGGCGGCCAAGCGAAGCGAAATGAGGGGGGAAATTGCCACTCTTGACAATCCAAATGTTTAACTCATTTAGGAAGCTGCTGCTCTCCGGCCCTCCCCCTCGTCTGAACAAGACTTTCTTTGATATCTGGAGAAGATGGAGGTTGGATCCTGGACGCCGCTGCTTGGAGCAGCGAGGTCACAAGGCCCTAATGCATTTAGCATCGACTGGCCCTCTCTCGTAGCGCGTCTATTAGGCACTAATTTGATTTGTACCTATTCATTTGCAGTCCCTGCAGCAGCACCGAGTTGGCCCTCTCCATAATTGGTTCTGTCTCTATTTTTGCATCATTAGATTAAGCCCGACTCCCGGACACTTGTAGTCTGCGCTTGTCCGTCCATTTATACAGCCTAATGTAACACAAAATTCATTACTGATCACATTACTCTCAACTTTTGGCCCCACGGGTTGGCGGATGAATGTAACGTTAATCATCTCCTGAAGCAGGAAACCCAGAGTACGGACAAAAATTGGATTGCGGCGAGAGGCTCTAAATAAACAGCACGGTGGCTGGGGACAGGGTGCTGGAGCCTCTGATGAGTGCTAGCCATCCGTTATGTCAGTCTGTGTCTTTTTCACCCAGACGTCCGGCTGCAGTTAGGAATCGGTGCCAGACTTTAAGAGTTCGAGCCATTCCCATTTGGGTCTTTGTTGAAGGTACCGACTAATGTGGCAGTAAGTGCTGAGAGTAACAGCCGAATATTGGTAATTACCCTATAGTCATCCAGAGTACCCTCTTCATTTGTTGTCATGGGGTCGTGTCTAGACGGTAACTGGTGTTCTGTGAAAAGTCTTGCAGGATTCATGTGCGACGTAATACAGTGTGTTTGTTGATGTTGCAGATCACATCAAAAGAAAAACTTGAGAATTTGTCAAATGACGATCTGCCATGTGACCAAAAGTTGAACCATCAAATTGGCATAAAATTTTCAATTTTGAAATTTCATGTACACTGCCATTCAAAAGTCTGTTTTTGAATGAAGTCTCTTGTGCTCACCATAGCTGCATTAGTTAGGTAAAAATACAGTAAAAACATAAATTACAAAAAATATGAAATATTACAATTTCATATTGCACTATATTTGTTTACATATATTTTAAAATGTGATGGTAAAAGCTGAATTTTCAGCAGCAATTACTCCTTTATTAAGTGTCACATGTTCCTTCAGAAATCATTCTAATATGCTGATAACATTCTTGTGTAACCCGTGATTCAAGATTTTAGAATTAAAACTTTTTTAATTAAGGATTTAATGCATCCTAGCTAATTAAAATGTATTTAAATAATAGATAGATGAGGAAGAGATAGATAGATAGATAGATAGATAGATAGATAGATGGATAGATGGATAGATAGATAATACTCTGTGAATTAGGTAAATACTCTTTTGGTCTCTAAACTTCATGGACCCCAATTTTAACCTCTTTTCTAGTGTGTAAGTGCCATAATTTTATTCTTTGACTTTTCACAGATTGAGGTTTGCCATCTAGACACGACTTTACAGCTGGTGTGGGATTTATCTGATCGGTTGTAAAGCAGTGTGGGATTGTGTCGTTGAGCTGTGGGTGAGCCAGTGCATCTGTGTATGTAATACCTGAGCAGCTTTCTTTGTAGTTGTGGGACGCCCCGTTTAATAAGGCAGGTTCAGCCGGCAGCCTCTTTGAAGGGTCGAAAGCAGATGGTTCGACACTTAGCATCTCCTCACGCACAGGCGCGTCTTCAGAAGAGGATTGTAGCGTCAGGGGACATCTCAGACTCTTCTTCTTCTGCTTTATCAGTCGCTAACTACTTCTCCATGTTTCATTCCATCTATCCCCTTCCTCCAGTCCACAGATTTAGAATTCTTGCGTAGTTTAACATCAATGAAATTGGAAAACCGAGAACTGGGCATTTCTTCTCATGCAGGTAATAGAGAGCGAACGCAAGGCTCCCAGTTTACCGTCACGCAAGGAATGTAAGAGAAAACTCTTGAAATGCAGTCATCTTAAAATTAGATTTTGGCCAGCGGCATAATGTTGCAAATTGGATTTTTGTCATTGGTGCTAACCTAACGTAAATTCCATTTAAGCAGGGGGAAGAGGACACCGCTGCCAGTGTTTACTGAGGTTACACACAGGGATTATGTCTCTGTCATTCCTCATTACTCCAGCCGCCCCAAAAAACACATTTATATCTATTTCCCCGTTAAGCCTACAGTACTGAGTGCACACTCTCAAATCTCCATCCCCCTTCAGCCTTACAGAGCTCTCAGAAAGACATGACTCTTAAAAATTTGATAATGCTAATACACTGTCTGTCTTTAAACAAAATGCTGCAGCGAATATTTTTCTCACATTAGTTTTATTTTAGTGAATTAAGTGTTTTTGAAGTGTTTTCAAATCAGATAATGTTATTGTCCTACCTATGATTCCCAGTGTTTTCTAGTAGCGATGTAGTCATAACTTGTAAAAATTAATATAGCAATGCTAAAATGTTGTTTATGTTTCTTCGTTGATATAGAGATTTGAATGCATGCTTGCATTTTTTGTGTGGTTGATTAGCACAGTACTGTGATTATGGAAAGGTTTTACAGTAATTGTGTGTCAAAGTTGAAAGGACCCTCCTTTGTTGTCTACTGAACCAAATATATGTGTTCTTTTAAAATTATTAAGGCCGATGGGTTTTTGTGCACTTGAAGGAGAGCCCACACTGTCGGAGCCGGACATGCCACAATAGCTTAATTGTGAAGAGGATGTTAGCGACAGCTCTCAAGCACCCTCTTTCTTTCTTCCTCTCCTTTCTCTTCATCCTTGAGTATTCAGTTCAACCCTCAGGGCAGAGCTTTACTGTGACAGCAACACACGTACATACACTCTCTAAAACACATACACAACACCTTTATATATACACACGTCAGTGTTGTTAGCTTTTTTAGTAATAATTTATAGTGTTGCTAACTGCTTATTCAGCTTGACCGTAGTTGAACTACTTTCATTTATGAATATCTAGTTGCTTGTTAAACTACAGTTTTGAAGTAGCTTCCCAACACTGAAACATTCACATGGCTGGCCCTTAAACAGTCATGCATGGCAGCTGGTAAAAGAAAGAACACATGTACATGAGCATAGTTTTCCAGACATAAATGGACACTTGCATGCTGTGACCACCACTGAGCTGACTGAACTGTGACCGGCTGAACTTACGATGATTAAAGCTTTTGTCACGAAACTAGGAACAATGCACTTACATCCGCCAGTAACACTCGTCTGTACATACTTCTCCATTGGCTAGACACTCCAGGGCGCCAAAAATCTGGCTTCCTCTCGATTGGCTGTTAGCACTCATGAAAGAAGCAGGATGTTTGTTTTCCAACCTCTCCAAAGCCATCAAAACATTCATCACTCGATATTTTAGCCTTTGCGCACTAGTTGTCAGTTTTAGTTTATAAAATTGTCAGGTCCTGTTTGAACTGTTTCTTTTTATGATTGAGTTAATTGTCTGACCAGGAATTGGTTATAGTTGGCTCTCACGGAATCTGTGTGCAGAACTCCACAGAAAGTTCCTCAGGTTTCCATAGAATTAGAAAGATGACATTCTGAAAAGTCCCTGAGTGCTTGTGTGTTTGTTTATTTAATATTTTGGCAAATTTGATGATGTTTTCAGCTATAAATAACCGTTTTAGTTTATAAAATTGTCAGGTCCTGTTTGAACTGTTTCTTTTTATGATTGAGTTAATTGTCTGACCAGGAATTGGTTATAGTTGGCTCTCACGGAATCTGTGTGCAGAACTCCACAGAAAGTTCCTCAGGTTTCCATAGAATTAGAAAGACGACATTCTGAAAAGTCCCTGAGTGCTTGTGTGTTTGTTTATTTAATATTTTGGCAAATTTCATGATGTTTTCAGCTATAAATAACCGTGTTATATTCTCATCTTAAACTTTTAACTATGTTTTAATTTATTCTCTAGAAATCAGCTGATTTTCCTTCCCAAATAAGTACATAAATTTGAACGTCTTGCTGCTGACTGACATGGCTGATAGTTTGAATTTAGAGTAGATTTACAGTAAATTTCTGTGGTAATGCTTACTCAGACTGAGCCTCACCATCTACTATTTATTTCATGTATGCTAACAAAAAATTGAGGTTTGATTGAGAATTAGGA